GTGTGTGTGTGTGTGTGTGTGTGTGTGTGTGTGTGTGTGTTGGTATGTGTGTGTGTATGTGTGTGTGTGTGCAGGTGTGTGTACCCATGTGCAAACATGTGGAGGCTAGAAGAATGTACCATGTGTCCTCCTCTATCATATTCCACATTCCTTTTGAAAACAAGGTCTCTCCCAGAACCTGAAGCATTCCTTTCAGGCCATGCTGGTTGACAGACAAGCTCCCAGGATCTACTGACTTCGTCCTCAGTCCTGGTATTCCAGACACACATGACCATGTCTGTCTTGGATGTGGGCATTGGAAATGTGAATCCAAGTCCCTTTTCTTTCACAGTCAGCAACTCGTACCCACTGAGTGATGTTTCTGGCCTCTTATTAAGTTCTCTTTTAATAAGTTCTTACTAAAAAATCACATAAAGTTGGCAAGCTAATGCTGACTGTGCTCTTTCTCTAAACACAAAGAAACAGAATAAAATTAAATAACTGCAGCTACATCCCATAAAATAAAAATTATTAGGAAAAACAAAATAAAAGGAAAGGGGAAAGTGATGTGATTATATTAATTAGAAATGCACAAAAATTATTTTTTTGTAAAATGAAAATATATCCTGTTCAATAAAGGGAATGGGGTGTGCACAGGGGTCAGAAGGTAGGACATAGCAATCAAGTTAGTAGATTCACAAACTGAGAAAGCTGCAGTGATTCATGGATTGATTTAGAGGCAGACAAGATTGGGGCATGAAGTTTTGATACCAAAGCAGAGATACATTACATGTTATGATAAAATATCCAGAAAAAGCAACTTAAGGGGGAAGGGAGTCATTCTAGGTTCCAGTTCAAAAGGGATCTAGTCCATCATGGCTGGGAAAGAATAGTACTAGGAGCATGGGCCTGATTATCCACACTGTATCAGCACCCAGGGGTGGACCCAGACTACAAAGTCTCAAGACTCACCCCAGTGACTTAACTTTCCTGTGGTGGTATTATGTTCCCCGAAAAATTGTGCACCCTAATAAACTTATCTGGGGTCAAAGAACAGAACAGCCACTAGATACAGAGGCTAGAAAATGGTGGCACTCACACCTTTAATCCTAGCATTCCAGAGGCAGAGATCCACCTGGATCTCTGAGTTCAAGGCCACACTGGAAACAGCTAGGCATGGTGACTCACACACCTTTAATCCCAGGAAGTGATGGCGAGAAACTATATAAGGCATGAATACCAGAAACTAGAAGCATTTGGCTGGTTAAGCTTTTAGGCTTTTGAGCAACAATTCAGCTGAGATCCATTCGGATGAGGACACAGGCTTCCAGTCTGAGGAAATAGGATCAGCTGAGGAACTGGCGAGGTAAGGTAGCTGTGGCATGTTCTGCTTCTCTGATCTTTCAGTGTTCACCCCAATAACTGGCCTCAGGTTTGATTTTATTGATAAGACCTATTAAGATTCATGCAACACTTTCCCCAGTAAATGTTCCACCTCCTAAGGTTTCCAAAACTTTCCCAAACAGTGTCACCAACTGGAGACTAAGTGTCCAAACATGTGAGCCTTTGAGCCATTTCTCATTCAAACCAAAACAAAGATGTTGACTTATGCCTACCAAAGCAATGAACTGGATACAATATCATTTTGTGGGTCAGAAACTGAAAAAAAAATCTAAATTAGAAAAATATAGCTCTTGGTGTAATAATTTTAAATGAGGAAGAAAGCTCCCCAAAAGTAGTAGAGCCCATACATTGTATATATAGAACCATGGTTTGAATTTCTAGTAACATCCTAATTCAAGAATTCCAACTTAGAACACTAGTGGTCAACCAGCAGAGATGAAAGTGAACTCACTCTTCTGGGACATATCTTTAGACATTGTTCTAGAGAACCCCTATGCCATACTCCCTATGACAAAGCCAATTTAAAACAAATGGGGGAAAGTAACTATTCAAAAATTTGACATAAGACAAAGACCTGAAAGGTGGTGGCGCAGCCATATCTGATGGGAACAGCAAAAGTCATAAAGCCAGTCCAGCTGCTTGACAAAGATCCAGTAAAGCTGAGCCACATGATGGCCGCTGTGCCACCTTTGGTTTTTATCTCCATCTGTTGCATGTTGGGGGGGGGGGCTTTTAATATTTGTACAATTTGGGGATATTGGATTGATGGAAATTCTCTTATAAATCATTTATACTTTCTCCTAGGAGTACTGCTTCTAAGCTTCCCTAGAAAAGTCCTGAACATACTACTCTCCTGCTTTTAGGGAGATATCCTTATCTACTTGAAGGTCTTCCTTATGCCTTGGAGGTTGTGACACACATAAAGAGGCCAGATATTTCTTTATGAAGCTATGAGACATTTTTGAAACTTCTGTCCCTGTACTAACTCAGGAACAAGATATTCAAAACCAAGTAAACTTAAAAAGATCAGCAAGATTTGGTGAGCTAGAGTAGTTGATCACAGATCAGATTACAAGCCTCTTCCCACTATATACTCGGATGATGGCATGGCATATAGAGCAACAAAGTTAGACTAGCTGAAGTTACCTCTGCCATATACAGAGACTAATATTGATGAACAAATAATGGAATGAAAAGATGATAAAAGAATGAGATGTCATGACCTCCCTTTCTTAGAAAAGTTATCACATGCTGAGTCACTGTAATGACATATGACCAAAGAACAACAGAATGCCAGGATTAGACTTACAAACAAATTCTAAATAGATATAAAATATAAAAAGTGTATTATGCCAGAATTTAAATAATAACTGCAGCAGCTTTGGCCTGAGACTTTTCTTGGGCACTCTGACCATTAATAGTTAATAATACACAGCTTGGAACATGGCATATGCCCAGGCTGGCTTGAGGATTTTGTTTTGGTGTAGCATCCTTGAAGCAACCAAAGCTACCAGCCTGAGAACAGGCTGTCATATGCCTCTAGATTCTAAAAAAATTGGTTATGGGTTAATGAATAAAAATGATAACTCTGTTCATCAATGATGTCAAAACTTGAGGGAAAATGATTGGAAATGATAAATCTGTTCTGTCATGATTTACCAATGATGACTAAAACATGTACAAGAAAAAGTGAAACACATGTCCAAACACAAAAATGATATGATCTATGTTTTGGAACAAGAAAAAGTGAAACACATGTCCAAACACAAAAATGATATGATCTATGTTTTGGAACAACATGAATCTCTCTCTGCTTATTAAATTTTGTATAGATAAAAAAAAGTACTCTGGCTGCTAGTATGTCAGCTTGCAAGATTCTCACTACCATGGCCTGGCTTACCTCTGTCCCCAACAACTCCTTACATCCTCTGCTGGGACCTGTTCACCACCAGGTATGGCTCTTGGTAGAAAAAGATTCAAATAAGAGTACCAAGTCATTTGAAATGTTAAGTCATGAGAGCATACTTATGCAAAAAAGATATTTAAATAAAGAATGCACAGAAGGATAGACATTAAACAGAGGCAGTAAAGAAAAGTCCTCAAAATGTAAGTTGATACAGCTCTAGAGAGATTTTGAGAAGTGGAACACAATTTTAAGGATGTTATACATAATGTCTTGGAAACTGATATAGTGGCAGGGAGAATAGACCGAGAAGTTCCAGCACCTCTTACAGTAGGCCCTCAATGACAGGAAAGAGCTTGGAAGGTAACAGCTGAGAATTTGTAGAGTGACATTAAACATTACATTGAAAACTTTGATAAATCAAACTAATTCCACAAATGCATATTAAAGTGATATCCTGGTTCAGCATTTGTCTGTTTTTACCATTGTGCCCATTTAGATCCATCCATTTATTCCTTAATTATGGTTATTTTGTCTTTTCCAAAATTAAATGAAATAGAATTATATCACTTTCCCTCCTCCCTCTAGCCCCTCTCATCCCCCCATCTCAAGTTGATATCCTCGTTTTCTTTGCTATTATTACATATATATGCATATCTGTGTAGACATAAATATATATAACATAATACATCATATTATAACTGTATATAATATATAAGTATATTATGTAACTACAGCCAGCAAGTACCTTTCTTGTTGTCTGTGTATATGGTTTCAGGAGTGACCACTCTGCACTGAGCAACCAATAAGAGGGCTCATCCCTTGGGAAGACTAACATGTTTTCAAGCAATATTTATGGCAACCAAACCAACCAACCAGTGAAATCACAGTATTATCATTAAAGTCTTGACAATCTAAAACAAGTTAATCCCAAGCATATTCTTCATCACTATAAAATAATGCATGGAAATTAAGAACAGAAAGATATATGAGACACCCATACTTTACTTTTAAATAATTTTTAAAATAACTCAAAGTTCAAGAATAAGCTCATAAAGAATAAATCACTGAGAATCAAATAGTAACATATATATTAGATATTAGAGCATATACAAAAGTTCTTACAGCAGTATATTTAAGAAAGTTATATTGGAACACGAGACAGGGAGAATAGACACTTTAAGTGTTTCTCTTGAGATTTTAGTGAAATAATATAGAAGATCAAAGGAAAGTTAAAAAGAAGAAATATAAGACAACAAGGAAATCATGCCTGGTACTGAAAACTTCCCTGAATTCATGGACCCTAGAAAATAATTGACAACAATCACTTTGCTAGAAGAACATACTCTCTTACTACGCTCTAAATCTTATTCTTATACCCATAGGTAAGTGTGGCTACCACCTTGCATCTCTTTACAGCAAATGGAACATCACAGAAAACCACAACTGGACACAACCCAGATCAAGAGATGGTGGGGAGCCCAGCCCCAAAGGTACATCTGCAATCAAGTCTACAAATAAATTTTCATGAATGGCTCAGGAATCATTGAGGAAGAGGGGGGCAGAAAGATGAAGAGCCAGAATACCAGGAAGTCTGCTGTAAATCAATCTGTTCTGGAAATAGCAGCATAAACAAGACCAGAACAATTACAATGTCAATGGGCATGTTAATGTAGAAACAGGAGAGTTTCTCAGGGTCCTAGACAAAGAAATACAGATAACTTTTGACAGATAGAAGAAGGAGGATTAGCCTTCTCAACAACTGAGCCCTCTTATTGTTTGTCCAATGCAGAGCAGTCCCTCCTGAAATCATATACTCAGAGACAACAAAAAAGAGACTTGCTGGTTGTAGTTACATAATATATTTATATTATATATATATTATATACAGCTATAATATGATATATTATATGTTATATATTTATGCCTACACATATATGCATATATATGTAATAATAGCAAAGAAAAAGAGGATATCAACTTGAGATGGGGGAATGAGAGGAGCTGGAGGGAGGAGGGAGAGTGATATAATTCTATTTCATTTAATTTTAGATAAGACAAAATAACTATAATTAAGGAATAAATAGATGGATCTAAATAGGCACAATGGTAAAACAGACAAATGGAAAATTGGGGGATAAGTCAAGAGAATACATTCAGAATAAAGACTAGAAGGAGGATGGAACATAACACACTGTGTGCACATGTAGAGGACATAGAGAAAGTAGCATATTAATAGAAGAGAAAAAATGGGAAGAATATTTGAAGAAATGATAATTGAGAATTTCCTCAACCTGATAGGAGCATCAAGCCACGGAATCAAATAGCTAATTATCAGCCATGTGATATTTTATACATATAAACTAATAGTTTAGGAAAAGATTTGTTCAATTTGAAGAAAATCATTTGATTACTCCCACCTAATTATGATATCTTTTAGTAAATTATAAGTAAAGGGGATTCCCTTAGATTGATTATATGTTATCTATAATAAAAACTCACAGAACCATCATTTTATTAGAAAACAACTGTCATAAAAATACAGTCATCTGGTAGTATCTTAAGGGAGAAGAGGGGGAAGAAGTGGGGAGGAGACAGAAAAGGAGGAGAGAATGTTTTATCACTTGTGAACACAATGCTTCTCCAAATAGAAAATGGAGGAGAGTGTGTACAGTGCTAAAAACTAATATTTAAATGTAAATCAAATGCAATATAATATTCTAAAATTGTTTAGTTCAAAGGCAACAAACAGAAAACATAGTAATGATGCAGAATGATCCAATTTCTAATAGCAGTGGATATTAGAAGTCCCTCAGGAATAATTTTAACAATGTTTGCACATGACCTTTATGATGATATTAAAAACTTGGCCAGAGAAGATTTAATTAAAATGATTGATACAGTCATGTTCACCTACAAGAGGCCTAAATACAATAAAGATGATTACCATGTACAAGTTAATCCCTGAGTTAAATGAAATTCTAAAGATATAGTTGTGTTTCCTGTGCCCACTGTAATAAATCAGCTCAGTTTGAGAGATGAACAATCAAAATTTGTGTTGTTTTAGTTTTGGAGACCAGAAACCTCAAATCCATCACTGGTCTGGAATTATGTTTTTGTTTGACCACAGTCTTTAGTGTTCTAGGACAAAGCCATTCCTTGCTAGCGAGGCTAGTGAAAATGTTTGACTTACGGTTGTACCACTCCAACTGAATTGCGTTCAATCTCATTCATATATGTACTTAAGTTTTCCCCTTCCTCCTTTCATCTGGGTTATCTCTTCATCTCAAGACCCTTAACACAACCACACCTCCAAACACCTTTTATCTTTTTCAGTAAAGAACATTGTAGATTCCAGGGGGTTTAGAAAGCAGTTGTATTCAGGAGGAACATTCAAGGTCTTCCAAAATTTAGGCTTTTTAATTCCCAGGGCTCCATTATCATTACACATGAAAAATACTCCTATATAACATCTTCAGAATTCCCGATTCACATATCATCAACCATTCACTACTTAAAAACCCCAAATCTCATTATTTAAATCAGCTAAGATATTGGGTAAGATCATCCAAAATCCAAAGTTTGTCTGAATCAGTGGACCCGTGAAACTAGATAAGTTTTATGCTTTTAAATGCAAAGGTGTGGAATATGCAGTATAATGCTAATATCATTTTGGGTTCAAATATTTGTGTTGGGTTCAAATAATTATTTAGTAGTCCCAAACAATTTTAATATCTATCAATGAACATTCCATTAGGTGTCTAGGCCTGAAAGTAATTTGATGTAGCTTAATGCTCTGCTCTTTAGGGATCTTTAGCCAGAGCCTATGCCACTGTGGTTTCAACTTCAGTGTTTAGACCCACATTCTTCCCTCAAATTCAATCTTCCTTGAAGTTAATATATATTTATGACTCTGTGTTATTATCAGCCTGTGCCCATCCTATGGAGTTTTGGAAGTCTTAAGCTGCCTTCCATTTCACCCTGTCTATTTCCTTCATCTTAAGCTGATAGTGTTTCTTGTGATACAACATTCTGAAAATTTATGTGGGTCTTTTCCATCTGTTGTGAGGATCTAGGCAATAAGACAAGATCTTTCCTGGTTAATGCCTTCTCCAATCCTAGCCTTTTCTGAGATGTTTGAAATAGTTGGTGAGTTACATGCCCAATCACTTTACCACTATCCAAAGGTTGTCTAGAACACTTTTGGTCTTCTTTGTAGAGTGTGTTCCCTAACAATAAATTTCAGGGTTGTCCAGGTTTGGCCACACAAGTGACCAGGCCACTGAAGCTGTGTTTCAAAGGGATCCAGCTCCATCCACAGTTGGCAATAGAGCTTGTTGTTATCAGAACCTTGTGGTGCTGATCTTGCAAGCATGCAAAATTCAAGAGTGATAGGGTCAATGGGGCTTGCACCAGTATATTAGAAGCAAGGCAATGGGGCCAAGTCTTGTGCATGCAAAAGGGTCAGGTAGCCTGAACGGAACTTCTTAGTGAAATATGCACGAGGGTGTGAAGATGAAACCCAAGTTGCTGTCTCAGGGTGTTGAAGATGCCAGGAACATGAAACAGACTGAGGATAGCTACAAACTTTGAAAGGAGGCCCCAAAAGGCATTCATGTGTACTGCCCAAGCCCATTGTAGCTTACACAATGTCATTATGTGTCACAAATGTGAGAGACTTTGATGTTTCTCCTGCTTTATTTCTTTGCTAACTCCCCATTCTTCCCATTTGGAATGAGAATGTATGTTCTGTGCAATTGTATATGGGAAGTTTGGAACATTAGTTTTTATAATGCAAGGACTGTCGGTTCATAGCTTGTCTTAAGTCTCAGGAGAGACTTTAAGAGTTTGGGCTTTGTGGTGACTGTTAAGATGATGGTCCCGAAGGCAGACTGAATGAATTTTGCATTATGGGATGTCCGTGAGCCTATAGGAGCACAGGGATATGACCTGAGTCTGAAATATGTTCTTCATTTTGTCTATAGCTGGTAACACCATTTTAGGGGGTTGGGGAGCTGCTGGATATGAGCTCTAGCTTGTGGAAGAGGGTGGCTGGGGAAGGTTTTGGAAGACCATATCAACCTTCAGTTCTGATCTTCCTTTCTGCTTTCTAGATAATCATGATATGAATAGCACCAACCTCTGGATCCTGCTGCTATGGATGGAGGTGAACCTCCAACCACACCTTCCCTGCTATGATATCCTATATCCATTGAAACCATGAGCCAAAATACACCCCTTTTCATGCAAGCTGCTTTTGTCAAGTAATTCTACTATAGTGATGAGAAAATACACAGTATTTGTAGCAAGTCAACACAGCTTTGGCAATTGAAAACAGAAGAAATATTCTTTCACAGTGCTAGAGTCCAGAAACCAAAAATTGGTATCCCTCAGATAAAGTCATGATGCTAGCAGGTCCATGCTCCTTCTGAAGCTGTAGAAAAGAATCTATTCTTTGTCTGCTCCCATTTTTTGATGTATGTTACTTTCATTAAGGGCCCTTCCAGATAATCTGGGTACATATCCCCATCTCACAGTCTTTATCCTAATGCATCTGCAAAGCCTCTTTTTTTCCTCAATAAGGGACTATTTATAATTTCTAAGAAGTATGATGTGGATACATGGGGTGTCATTTTGTATCCATGTCCCAACAATGTTTCTTTTGAAATTCATCAATGGTTCCTAAAATTCATGCGGAAGTACAAAGTGTAAAGGATTGCTGAAACAATTTGGAAGGACAACAATGAGAGACGATGGAGATGCCACAGCTTCTAGAGAACATTAAAGAAACATTAATGAGACATTTTGTTACGAGCAGAACAGAAAGATAAACTATCTTGGCGGAAGAGATAGCTCCCAAAATGGTCCACAAAGATAGGGGAATTAGGTAAGCCATAGAGTTAGCATTCCATATCAAAGTGCAAAACATGGATTATTCAATATGTGATATTTGGACAATTAGCTCTCCAGATGGTAGAAAGGAAGATGAAATTCCTATCTAATGTGACATACAATAACTTCCATATGGATTAAAGATCTTGATGTTAAATAGCAACTCTTTAATCTTTACATGAAAATATCTTGTTACCTTGATGCAAGACAGGATTCTTTAATTAAGGAATGAAATCACATACCAAAAAAGAAATTAAGTGTACCACTATTTAAATTATTAACTTCTCTTATTCAGTAAAAAAAAAAATGCCCATAACAAATTTTATAAACTACATGCATATGCAGAAGTTTAGAATTTACAAATTATATAGGTACCGAATGATAATCAAGAGCAGTAGAGTATATTTTTTGCAGATATTTAAGAAATGCCAAAAATTTAATAAGACAACAGACAGAGTAATGCCATGGATCCTAAAACGATGAAAAGTTGTTCATTCATCCAGTCACCTCTATTGTTTTGGAAAAAAAGAAGCTTTGATGATACACATATAAATGAAAATGGTTTTCAATTAAAAACTATTTCATCAGCAAGCATGCATGTATAATGATGAGACCATATAATAAAGACATTTTCATACAAGTGTATCATATGCTTTGACCATATTCTACCCCTTCCATCTAGTCCTTTCTTTCCCTAAGACAGTCTCAATTCTTTTGTGTCATTCGTATAAATGATTTGTACTTGCCTGTATAATATCTATGATCTACAAATGACAGAAACATAATCCTCTCAATATGTCAGTGAGTTGTTTACCATTGTCTAGAAACTCCAAAGATGTTCTTATCTATGAGTTGGAAGTTCTACTGCTGGATTTATGTCATTGAGCAATACTGTTCAAAATAATAACTTATGGTACTGAGGAGATGGCTATGTGTAAGGCTCTTGTTAGGCAAGAATGAGGAACTGATTTAGGATCTACAATACCAAGTGAAAACCAGATCAGCACATATCTGCAACCACAGCACCATGCAGAGACAGACAGATCCGGGGGTTGACTGCCAGCAGCCTAGCTGAAACAGCTAGTTCCATGCTCAGTAAGGGACAGTGTCTCAGAAAGCAAAGAGGAGAGTGATTGAGGAAAAAAGAAAGGAAGGAAGGAAGGAAGGAAGGAAGGAAGGAAGGAAGGAAGGAAGGAAGGAAGGAAGGAAGGAAGCAGGGAGGCAGGGAGGCAGGGAGGCAGGGAGGCAGGGAGGCAGGGAGGCAGGGAGGCAGGGAGGCAGGG